TAAAATTGAAATTCTTATAAATTCATCAGTCAGTATACTCTTTTTTTTAAATAAGTGACGAATACGTTTTCATACTTATTTGTTTTAATATCTTAATTTAAAATTTTTTAAATAAGTGACGAATACGTTTTCATACTTATTTGTTTTAATATCTTAATTTAAAATTGAATAGCATAGATTTTTACTTTTTAATGAATTTTAATAAAAATAAAAAAAAATAAAAAAAATCCACTTTTCAATAGTTATTAGTATTTTTTTTATTGACATATTAGAATATAAACTGTGTATTTTAGAACGTCTGTCAAATGTGGACTCTAATTAATATTCTCGTGGGTTTCAATTGCATAATATATATGTATACGATTTAAATGTTTGAGAATGTTAGGGAGACGCTTTTTAAAATATAATAAAGGAGTACTTCCAATGTTTCTTTTTTTTTTGTAAAAATTTTTTACCGTAATTGTTCTTCTTTATTTTATAGACATTTATAAAAATTATGAATTGTTCATAATTTATTAACATTAATTTGTTTTTTATTTATTATTTTTTATTTTACCGGAAATATAATTTTTCAATAATCGTAATATATTATGTTATTTAAGTATATTATTAAAGTATATTAAGGTGTGATATTAATATTTTCTATTTTAAAATAATTGTTCTAAGGACACTTAAAAATTAGGAACAATTCGTGCGCATAACGATAATTTTTAAATTGCCTAATTTAAAGTTATGTGACTTTGAGAAATTATTTTATAAAATAATAAAACATGACTTTTATTTTATTTATTTATAATGTTTTAATGCGTAGTTTGAAAAAAATATCTGTTGTTTGGAAACTAACATGGGACAAAATAAGATTAATTTTCAATAACACCGACACGTGCGTATTATGTTTAATGAAAGGTTTAATAAATTATACTAGAGAAAGTAATTCAATTTGGTACTCCCACTTAACATACTTGCCTCACACGATTCGTTTTAGACCTCTTATAAAACGTACCTACTGCGTTTCTTCGATATATTGTGACTCTTGGGTCAATATATCGACAACAACAAACTTTTCGTTCACACTGGTAAGCTAACATACACATATTATATTTTTATATTAATTTACAGTACATTTTATTATAGTAATAACACTGCCATAATTGTTATGTATCAAAAGCTTTACAAACTAATAAAAATGTATATATTCAAATTTTAAGAATTAGCAAATTTAAAAAGCTAAATTTTATTAATTTGTTTATAGACATTTATTTTATTATAGATTTTGTTTTCAACTATTAAAAAATATGTATTTTATTTAAAATGTTTAATTTTGGTGATTATATTCTTAAATAAAGTTAATATTTATTGGGAAATCTTAAAAGTATAAAACAATAGGTATTTAATATTTTTATTTAAATAATTTTATATTTATATTATATATTTGATCATTTTTTGAATTTATTTTAAATGTTAATTTAATATAATTTGAAAAATAAAAATATGTTTTTGATGTAATGAAAAAATATTATAGCTAGGTAGTAATTTTCTGTATTTTAATTTATCACCTAAATATTGTATAGGAAAAAAATAAAATTGACAATTGTAGTAAATTAATTATATACGATGTATAATTTTTGTTTTATATTTTATACGTTTATTTAAAGTGTTATAAATTGTATTTGGATGAAGACATATTTTATAGAAGTCTATACAACACAATACGATCTTATATAATGAACAACTTTTTAAAGCTGCAATTCTACATTTTTATTCAATATAAATTACAATATCTACCATGATAAATATGTTACCAAACTAATTTATACATATATTATTAAACAATTTATTGAAGCATATCACACTTAATTAATAATATTTATGATTAAAATGTTTTATTTATTGTAAAGTCTGAGTAATTTATCTGATTATTAATCATGTTACTTAATTTTATACACAATATTTATACATATATAAATTGTATTTTTATTACAAAAAGTCAATAGCATTTAATCTAAATACCTACTTTAATACATAAACAATATAGGTACATATATCTTAGAACAATAAAATAACATAGATAATCGTTTTATTATTTTGTAATAGTTTATAGTTATATAATTAATATTTTACGAGAAAAAAAAAATACAATTTAATACTTATAGAACTCAATAATAAATTTAAATCATATTGAATATTTTTGATTTAACAAGGTACACAATATTAAATATTTTATGTTAGAATAGTACGATTTGTCAATGCAAATATTAATATTTGGAATAATTCAGCTTTTAAACTATAAGAATTTTCTCAGGATAATTCGTTTTAAAGTTGCATAAAATCAATAAATCAATGAGGGTTGCTACAGAACATGAAGTATATATATATTATATGCCTGTAACATTAAATTGAGTAGACTTTGTAATAGTATTACATTTATAATAACAGTGTTTATACATATGTTGGTCCATAATATAACAAGTTTTTGTTTTTCCATTAGAAAGATGAAATCATTTATGTTCGTTATGGTTTTGGGCACGTGCATGATGGCCATGTGCCTATCAATGCCCCAGGGATCCAAAGAAGGAGCTATTTTTACGAATGAAGCAATCAGGCAAGCACAGAATACACATCTGATACCGCAAAATGCTCAGATTCAGAAGGTTCAAGAAGGTGTTGAGTTGGCCGCGTACGAGTCGATACCTGGAGGACAGGCCATCAACCTGTTTGAAATTCTTGGTGACCACGTGCCCCCAGAGGTTGTCAGCAACTTACAAACTCAGGTCGATCAAGTTGGAAAACAATGAAAAACAACTAGATTATAATTTAACTCAAAATATAATTTAGTTTACTAAAATAAGTTTGAATAGCCCTCATTAACAGGTTTCAAGTACCTACAGTATTTCATAACATTTTTGATGCCGAGTTTTAATCCATCATGTATTTTGGTCTCTCACCATGTGTTATGTAATATTGTTATCGATTAGTTTTTAACAGAGAAAGTAATGTTTATTTTTCAAAGAAAGTGCTTTCACCCAATGTTTTTTTTTTTTTTTTTGACAAATATAAATACTAATGTAAATTTTGATATGTTCACTTTCTATGTATCTGGATAGTAATCAATTAATGTTTGTATACCAAAATATTACAAACAATAAATATGATATGACTTGATCTACACCAGTAACTATTTATTATATTTATCTCAAATTATATTTTTATAAAGTTTTTAGGATAATAAATTTGAATTCACATTAAGAAGAATTTTTTCTCAATTTGAATGTTTAAATTTATTAATGTTAAAGTTATTTATTTAAAAAAAAATTGAAAATACAGTAAAACCTTTAAGTGATATTTTTGCCAGAACATTTAAACCCGCATTACCCATCAAAAATAATGTTTTATAACAAGTCAAATTTTAAAAGGAAGATAAAATTGATACTGAAGATTATAAATAAAAGAAAAAAAAACGAAAGATTATAATCTTGTATTTAATGTATTTATTTTGGTAGGTTGGTAGGAATATTAAATTTTAAAAAGTTTTTTCGTCTTTAGAACTCGAAGGACAAATTTATTGATAATGAAACTAATAAATAAAGTCTTTGGTTGAATCGTAGAGGATAGAGTTTTTATAATCATCCCGATTGTGTGTATACAAATACTTAATTATGAATAATTATTTCGCATATAAATTATTTTAGCTGGATATTTTGAACTGGCTTTGATTCTTAAGAAAGATACTCATTATATAAAACTTGAATTGAAATCATACTTAATATATGTGTAGATTTGGATGTTAAGGAAGAGGCTTTCAATAGTGAAAGTTAGTTGGTGCTCATTGAAAATTTATAGTACATACAAGAAAAAATAAAATATCGATTTGGATAAATTCGATGAAAATGTACCTATAGCCACTAATGGTATAGAATCAATAGATATATCATAGTATTATTGTATATAACATTATTCTTAGACCAATCAACAATTAAGTACGGGGAATTTTAGAATAAATCTATCTACACAATTAATAGAAATTATTAGAATTAGGTATAATTCGTATGTTATTGTTAGACAGTTATTTTTATATGATCATTTTTAAATGTTCGTAGATGAATACTAATTTATAAACATTGGAATTAGCTACATTAATTTTTCAAAATGTTTTGTTACATCTATTAATGTAGGTATTATTTTTATTGATCAGAGAAAGCAAAATTATAATGATATGCGACTTGTAAGATAATGTTGTTTTCATGAAACCAAGTACCTCATAGCGGATAAGTCATCTATTTATTGAAGAACATTAATCTTAAACAAGGAAATATTCAATAAATACACATTATAATACTGGTAAAGCTTTCTCTCCAGTCCATAACTACCATTGAGTATAACAGTATACATTTAATGTATTCTGTACAATGTATAAACTAAATTGTATTACTTTCTGTTATGTATACTACTACATAAACACTTTCTTCGAGTTAATTTGTAAGTATTTTAGGCAATGTTTTCATGGTACAACACAAGGATAGGTAAAATAAGATGACATTAATTTTCTTATATTATTAATTTTAATCTTTGGGTTTTATCGTAGTCGTAGAGCTTAATCAGAACTTCTTGAAGTTTATAAATTAATAATAATATAAAATCATAACTTTTTTTATATCCCAGAATAAAAATTCGATTATTATTTATAAATGTAATATAAGTATTTATCAGGGCCGTAGCAAGGCGGGGTGAAAGGTGCCTACATCCAAGACATTAATCATGGGAGGGTGCAAAAATGAAAAATTTGAATTTGAATTTAAAAATTGCGACGGTAAATGTTGTATATTTTATTTACAAAAATTTCAACGTCCTTAGGATTAATTGAATCAATCGCTGAAAATAATATTTAATAATCATAATATTTTTGAATTAAAAATTTATAAGGGTAAATTTTGAAGTTTTGCCCTGGGAGCAATATCTGGCTGCTATGATACTTTTCATCCATTGTAATCATAATTTTAAAAAATACTTTAAAAAAATAATTCATTATTTTTCAAATATATTTAAATTTGATTTAAAAACTATAATAGAAGTCTGAGCGAAGTATTTATATTTTATTTTAAATAATATGAATTTCTAAAAATCTATATTTATTTATTATTTTGAAAAACAGTTTCATTGCAATTATGTTATCTATTTCATCAAAACATGACATTATTTAATTTTAAAAATATTGCTCTAAAGTTAAAATAAAATATTAAATTGTATTCAAAATTTGAAATAGTACAAGATAATAAATTAAAAACAAATAAAAGAAACGGACGAAACTTATAAGTCGAAGAGATTCAGGTGTATATGGCTATATTGGTCTTCTAAACCAGCGGTTCCCAAAATTTTATAATCACGGAATCCTTAAAAAATAGTTTGTGTTTTGCGGAACCCTATTGTCTTTAATTCCAATTCAACTCTAATTTTTCTAGAAAAAAAAGAAAAAATTAAATCAATACTTTAAAAAATGTTTTTAATGATATTTTTAATATTGTTAATGATTACTCTTTATTAAAATTAGTTTAAAACACAACTTTTTTTAAATAATATAAAATAAGTTTCTTAATAATCACATAAATCTGGCGGAACCCATAGCATTGTCCCACGGAACACACTTTGGGAAACGCTGTACTAAACTTAAAATCAATGTTTTTGCTCTCGAAAAACAATTCTGAGTAAAAGAGGTCGGGTGGATCAGTTAATATTTCTAAAGCTTGGTGATACAATAGTAAAACAACATTTTTAGACCCAAATATTTTTCTATCTTCTACATATTAGATACACATACAAATTAAAAAGTTAGGATAATTTACCAAAGTGGTACTGAATAAAATTATTAGTCCCCCAAAAATAAAATCCTAGTTGCGTCTATGTCTTTACACCAATATTTTATTTTGTAACGCTTATAAAACATTTTTGGGATTTTCCACTAATTTTTTTTTATTTACCAAGAAAATCTTTTGAAAATTTAGTATCCAATTTCAAGTCTTAAAATAAAAAATTTAAGGTTGTATGAATTTTTATTATAACATTGTAGCGAATTTTCGTGGATTTTGTCATTTTATCAAAATTAAATATTCAAATATTCGTGCTTATACATTTTTCTTGAAATGAAATGAAATTTTCAAGATTCCTTTACAAATATAGGAACGAGGAACAGAACAGGGTTCCTATTTATGAAGAACTTGAAAGCAAATTTTCAATAAAAAAAAAAAAAAAAAAAATTACATTTTATAATAATATTTTTTAGAATATATTAAATTGATATACTAAATTTTAATATTGGTAATAATATAGTAGCTATTTATTCTATAATCAATGGTAAAAGGTACATACATTTATTTGGCCTTAATTGGAATCATTGATTACCACTGATACGATGTTATTTCCAATCCATGTTTTTATTATCTAATATTTATGCATACAAGGTACTTAATAATAAGTTAATAATACTATAGACCACGGATGTACACCTGTGATTAAAAACTATGTAAACAAACTAAATCAATTTTGTTAAAAATTGGGACTTAAAAATACCTGTTTTCCGCCACTTTTTAATAATTTATTCCTATATGTTTATTGAATATTGTAAATGGGTAAAAATCAAAATTTGATTCTTTTGAAGTTCAATCTGGGTTTAATTAACTATTAGGAAAGGATTTGATTAAAAAAAATCAACCAATAGATTCTAGTTCAAAAGTTTTCCATAAAAATAACATCACTGACAATCAATTGGATTGTAAAAAAATGTAAAAGTAACGGGAACACGTTTCTTTCATGTAACTTGAACGAGGAATAGGAATAAATTCGTTTTTAAAAGGAACTTTCCCAACACTAAATACAGTGTAGCGGTAATACCATCCTTTGACGTATATAATAATAAAATTATTAGGTATATTGTCTATGACTTCAAACCTTATCATTTGTGTATTATTTAATCTAATGATTGAGCATTTGGTATTATAATTCATGACAAATTTTAAATATAAAATGTTATAACACTCTCGAGTCTAAACAGTAAATTAAGGAGTAAGAATTATGCATTTTTCGAACACTATAATGTTGATGGTAAGTTATCTATACGATAAAAATAAGGCGATATAATATTTTAATCCCTCAGTAAAATTACGATTTCTTATTACAACCTGAATATGATAAAATGTACAAATTTGAATTATTTGGTTTTTATTCACTAATCAATATAATTATAAACATTTTATTAATTTAATAAAAATGAAAAAAAAGTATTTTATTATTCACAATTTTAAATACGTTTAAATAATAAAAACGAATAACAGTAAAGTACTTATTGTATTATTTACTTTGTAAATTGTTGTTTTAAACAAATTTAATATTAATATTGATTAGTTAATCAAACTGTATTTTCGTTAGATGACATGACGGAAAATTTGTTAAATTACAATATAATTTTATGTTAAAAATAACGAAATATTTTTTAGTTATATACATTGCGTTAATGTAATTTAGTAGTGTGTTTATTTTAAAATAATACTGAATACTTATAAAAATTAAAATTACCTAGTTTCAGAAAAGTAAAATAGAGCTTTATAAGGCGTATTAAAATTTATAAAATAAAAAGTAGTACAAAATGAGCTATTATTTAGATTAGAAAATAATTTATACTTTTAGTAAATTTCAATGTTATGTGCCTTATATTATTTTTCCTGAATATTCCCCGAAAAAAGTAACATAACATATTTATATTTATAATTATATTCCATTTTATTAATTGTTTTCGAATATATTCTTGTTTTAGATGGAGAATATTAATTATCAACCGATGAAAGTTTTAATCTATTCATGTATTAAATTAGTTATTTTGTCATGTACAATTGAGATTTTTGGTAATCTAACCAATCATTTTAAAAATAAATATATTTAAGGAATTAAATAACTAAATACAAATTTATATATGATTATAATTGTCCGTCTTATAACTGTCATAACTCATAATAAGTTAATTAATTATTTATATTAAAATAATCAAGTATTTGGTTGTAAGTATATAAATTAAAGGGAGTTATGAGATTTACTTGCGTACGTTTGGTTTTTGAATAATTCATACTCGTACATATTTAATGCAGTGATTTAAAGGTTCATATGATATTGTTCTGTATCATTTGGCCCGAAAGTAAACATACTTAGTACTTTAGACTAAAAAAATTTTATTTTTCGAATTTTCTATAAATTAAAAATTGAATTTTAAAAGTGTTATACAGAAAATTTTTAGAATAAAATATGGAAAAAACGAAATGCTGGAGCCTAATTATAGATGTGTTTATATTTTCAAACTATGATGAATTATACATTTTTATAGGTTTCTAGAAACTAGATTTAAAAAGTATAATTTCTAATTTTATCAAATAAAGCAAGATGAAAAAATTCTCAATCATCTTTACTAAGAAATTGTTTTAGTTAAATTTCAAACAAAATGATTATTATAAAGTATAAAATTGTAAAAAATTAGTGTGCCATAAGGAGTACAACTTTTCCGAAACCGTCTGGTAAAGCTTTGTATGTTTTGTGTACAATACTAAAGCAATAACAGTTTAAATCATTACTAGAATAATAACTGTATTGACGACGTCTTAATTATTTAAAACACAACCACTCGAACTCCATAACAATTTGGTCTCCACACGGGTTTTTCTCAGTGAGGCCCAGTAATCATTTAGTAATCATTTCATATTAATTTAAATAAAAAAAAAATTAGGTAACAGTTTTATTTTATATTTCGATTAGAATGGTGAGCTGCGGTAATAATGTACTATCGATAAATTTAAATGTTTGATGAATGAAATGATTATGGTAATTATGTAAACTGTACCTACTCGTTATTGCTGCCGTAACTGGTTTATTTGGTTTTGTTGTAATAAGTTGTGATTCCAGTTAAGAAGTTTGTATTAGGGCTTACCTCGTTGGTATTTATTTGAAATATCCGTGAATTTAATGAGTCTATTGGATGAACCTTTACGACCGACCTGCATTTATCTTATGTTATAATTGTTAATGTTTATTTGTATAATTATTAACTGTCACTGAAATAAGTTAAATATATTGTAAACGGCAGATTAGTGTTTTCACAAGAATACAAAGTCCAACGATTTTGATATTATTACAGTATTTTTATTAAATTCGCGAGGAAACCGTTGTACAAAACCACGCATTCGGTCAATTATTCGATTATTACTGTACATAACTTGTTTGTATGCACATATCAAATTTTGCTCGTTGGACGTTTTTCGCGATTTGTGTAAACGTAAAATGCAAACAAAATACGGTTCTACTCCTGTACTTTTCAAACGCAACTGTTGTTGCGTTACACGCGCGCCGGACATGTGTGTAATGTTCGTACGGCAGTGAGTGTACGTTGAGTCGAAAGAGTTACGGTTGTGCACTTGCATTGCTTTGGCTGCGAAAAAATTCTTATGGCCCATATGCAACGATTGCGGTCCGTAGAAATACAATGTACACGTGCAGTACACTTACCGTGATATGTACGTTATGGTTGTTGACCATACACGACGCGGAGGGTAAAAAGCACTGTGCGGTGTCGCGGTGTGCGGCGGCGGCGACCACGACAACGGTTAGGTTAGGTAACCTTTACGTCATGTTGTTTGACGTCGCGAATGCATCGCCGTTCGGTTAGAAGCTGCCGCGCTTTGTCGACGGTGTTACCGTGCAGGCGTAATGGCGTCGACGTCAGTGCCGGGCTTAAGTCTTCGGCGGCCAGAATGCAACGACTTGTTGGAAGCTTTTTAAAAAAAAATTTAAAAAAATTATTAACACAAATCTTATCTACATCTACCAGTACAATAAAACAATTACATTACGAATGCGTTAAAAATATGTCTCAATGTCTAATAAACATAATTGTATGTTATTTGTTGAATTAATAATCGCGTTCTTCGGCCACTTTGTTTACTGAAATTTTTTGATAACTAAATGCAGATCCCGATAACTAAGTTATCGTAATCAACACCCATTAAAAAGCTGCTTGGAATTTATTCAGTTGATGATAATCCTATTGATAGTATTTATCATGCACAATCTCCACAACTGGAAAGAACACCGGAGAAATAACAAGACCAGATAGTTTTGATAAGTTGGTAATAAGTATAATAAATGATTATTTTAGTAAACAATTCTAGCAATCAGGTTGTTATAAGTTCTAACGCCAAGACAAGTCTATAATTCAATACTTGCGAATAAAGAGTTTTCAATGTATTATTATTGAATCAAGATATATTATTTCGAGTCATAAAAAAAACTAGGAACACTCCTGTCTCCACTGATAAATACGGCATTTTCTGATGTTCTGTATACCATCATCATGTCCCGTCGTGTTATGGTCCATGCCGAATCAAGCAATTTCATTGGCCGATTTTATTCGTAACCAAACCCGTGGTAATCACACTACTACCACACTATACCCGATAGTTGAAAATATCCAATCATTTCGTTGTATGATTAATGCGACGGTCAGTGTACGAGCGATAACTTGCTAACTCGATATGAACTAATAATTCTTATGAATACAATTTTTTTGCATTCAAGGCCTATTCGAAAATACAGTACAATAGATAATATGTGTTAACTAAACACGGAGTACACGATGTTGGTGGAATAATACCGTCAACGTCTACTTTGTGGTATATCGTGGATCCGGTCAAGAGAGGTTGCTCGGAAAACAAAACTCGAAGCACGCTCACTCACGCACATGTACACACACACACACACACACACACACACACACACACACACACACACACGCGGACTACGCGATGTTGTGGATATTGTGTATGCACGCGAAGAGGTATGATGCACGGCAGGACGAGGCGCTTGGCCAACGGTGTGCGCGACGAGAACAGTCTGTGCTTGACCACGCGGTCGTATGGTTATCACTCTGCGTACGATGGTTCGTCCGTGGATGGTCGCGTTCTTACTTCTGCTAACGAATCGGCGATCGTTCACGACCAGCCAGCCGATCGCCGCCCACGCAGAAGCCGCATTCGAAATCGCCGGTGATGACAGCCACACCACCGCCAACAACACTACTACCGGTACGCGACATTTTTAATTATTATAATAGTTTGTTAAAACAGCGAACATTTTAGTCGGTAAGGATTTTGATTTTTCGACCGTGGTAGCAGTAACGTATAACATTAAGTTCTGCAGGACCAACATTTAGGACAGTCCCATGTATTTCAAGTATATATATTTTTTTTTAAATTTAAAATCTGTATTTTTTTAAATTATACGATTTAAAACGGTTGAACAATTATTTTTAGAATTTCGGATAGGCTATATTTTATACGACAATGATTAGCTATAGTTAAATATAAATATATAATTTAAAGACAATTAGTTGCAGGAAGTTTTTTCTGAAGATCCTTCATATGCTATAAGCTAGTAAATCGGAACGTAATAAAAGTATAAAAAACTGATTAGTTTGCATGCATCATATTTTAATGTTTTTTTGAAATTTGATGTGGTGAAAAATACAATTTTTTACAAACATAATTCGGTAACATGTTGATTTGAACAAGTCAGATTAACTGTTATAACTTAATAGTATATTTTTAACATAAAAGCCTTTGTAATTTAATTCTAGTTATTGAATGTATCTAGTGATATACTAGTATTACCTAAATTATTTTTTCTCATCGGTGTCTTATAACACTAATGTCATCCACGTACACATATTATTTTAAAAAGCTTACATTTTCGTTCTGTTTTTATCTACAATTGTAGTATTGTATGTTTATAGTAGTTTTGTAGATATACACTAGAAAACTACACACTTTGATTATAATTACAAATAAAAGGTATAACAAAACGCAGTGAAACAATATTATAGACGGTTTTTTTAAAAACAATTATTTGTTTTTTACGAGAAATTTTTATACTACTTTAAAAAACTAATACTTTTGGTACCATTAAATAAACAAAATCGCATACTTACTTGAACTAAATATTGATTTATTATTGATATAAGGTATAAAAATACTGGTATTTTTATATAGTTATAAAATGTCCAAATACTATTTTTTGCTTTGTATAGGTAATTGATGATAAAGCCAACCAAAATACATAATAGTATATGTAATATATATAATAACAATATTCAATTTAAATGTTTTAATTATAATATATTTTTAAAAGAACATTGATGTAAATTAAATAAATCGAATTTGCTGTTATACAACTAATTCGTAAGAGTATGAAGCAGAGATTGTATAAAATCATTGTTTAATATTAATCAGGTATACTTAGAATTATATACGTACTATTATTGTTATTATTGTTATGTATGTAACAATGAAGATATTTTTCATCTGTATTATAATATTTCTATTGATCTTCTACTTTATTGTTAGTTTTGATAATTTGTCTTCACTTAATTGTATTTTAGTCACATAATATTAAACCAATGAATTGTATTACAATACTTTTGGGTTTAATGAGAGGTAGGATACAAAAAAAAAAAATGTGACTGTACAAGTTATTTCTATAGATAATGTCGAATTAAATTTACTATAAATAAACACTTACGTGCACACCTTTTATTATAATTCGGATTATAATTATTTATCATTTATGTGTAAATGAGTGACCCATGTTTCAGTATTTATTTATGCATATTTTATATTTGATAATTTTTGTGCAGATTGAATTTTTTTAGTTGAATTATTGAAATCTAAGTTTATTATAAATTTAAAAATTTTATGTTGTTTAGCTCATTAAAAAGATTACAAACAAAACATCATTAACCATTAATATGATAGTCTTAGTATCATATCGAATATATATATACGAGTTATAACAATTATAATTTGTTAATTTAACCTATTTTTTATGATTAGTTGATTTTATAAATTTTATGTTTAACTTGTTTTGTTAATGTTGTTTACGACTGAACTCAGTGGCCGGGTTAGTTTTCTCACATACTTAATTTGTTGTAGAATAATTATTCGTAATATATATGTTACGCATATTTCTCACACTAAAAATGTCTAGATTTTTGGCATTTATATAATTTTTAATATAACTCTATGAAATTATAAATGTAATAATTCAAGGTCACAACCATGTATAAATATATACTGTAAATTGTATACCACATATATATGTACATCATATATTTAGTGTATAAACATTTTGAGTGCTGTAATGCTTGTAGTGAGTTACGTTATAGATTCAAAATATAATTTTCTATCACTCTATAAATTTATTTTCTCAATAATTTAAAATTTTAATTATTTTATAATAATTTATAGACTGAGATCGATTTCAATCGTAAGAATAAGATACTTAACCTATCTATTTATACATATAAATAATTGGTTCGCTTAATTGTTTGTGGTTGGTTGAGTATTATAGTGACGCAAGTTAAGGTACATCATTTTTCAGGCATCAATTAATTTTTCTGTATGTTAAGTTTATGTATTTCTATACCATTTCAACGCATACAATTGCATCAGAAACCGTTGGTCTAATAGCATGGAAAGCAACGGAAATCCACCGGAAATAAGAAGAAATGAGTATATGAAAAAAAAGCATCAAGTGCTTATGAGAATAGATGGATTGAAAAAAAAAGACCTATGACATTTTTCTTAAGAAAAGATTGCCCGATCGGTTCTAGTCGGGCAATTAGTTAATGACCAACATGGTACATGGTCCATTTTAAATAATTAGCACACAGGGAATATTATTTTCTTTCTGTATCTTCGCGTTGTCTTTTGTAATTGCACCGCCACAATTAAAAATACATGTCTCCAGACGGCCACACATCAAACTATGGATACAATACGCAGTTTAATAAATACTCACACACACACACACACACACACACACACACACACACACACACACAC